GCCAAGTAAACACCTTAAACTCATTGTTGTGCTTCTCAAACCATTCCTGAACCATTTTTGCTTTGTGGCAGAGTGCAGTATCCTGCTGAAAGAAGCCATCGGGGAATATTGTTTCCATAAAAGGCTGTAGATGGTTTGCAGCAATGCTTAGGTAGGTGGTACATGTGAAAGTAACATCCTTATGGATGGCAGGACCCAAGGTTTCCCAGCAGAACATTGTCCAAAGCATCACACTGCCTCTGCTAGCTTGCCTTCTTCACATACTGAATCCTGGTGCCAGGTGTTTCTCAGAACGAACATTAACTTTTGTGTCTTGGATTAGACCACATGGGCCGACCTTTGCTCCCCACAAGTCCGGTCATACATCCATCCACCACTGTTTCTTTCTTGGACCACTTTTGATGGATACTAACCCCTGCAGACTGAGAGCACACCATAAGAGCTGCAGTTTTGGAGATGCTGACCCAGTCATCTAGCCATCACAATTTAGTCCTTCTCAAACTCACTCAAATCCTTGTCCATTTTTCTTCTAACACTCAACTTTGAGGAAAAAATATTCATTTGTTCCCTAAAGTATCCCACCCACTAACAGGTACCATGGTAAAGAGATAACCACTGTGATTCACTTCACCTGTCTTTGCTTGTAATGTTTTGTCTGATCGGTGTAAATTGTTTTTTCTTTCTTTGAAAACTGACAGCTGTTACCAGTTTTAGCAGTATTGTTAGAAGTGTAATTATTTTTAGGTACTGCAATATGCATTGCAAATTTAGGAGTGTAGAGCAACTGCACTTGAAGTCGGTAGTCTGTATGATGAAGTGCTTGCCAAGTTTGGTTTCAAGAAGTCTTTTTATCTCACTGTTTAAAACACAAAAGAGAGAAACAGTGACTTCTTACACGTCTCCAGAATGTTGCATATTGCGTACTTCCCCACCCTCTTTGCTGTCTGCTCCTGAGTCACAGTCAGGGTCAGTCATTGTGAATGTTGTACTGTCCTATTTTCTCTCTGTGCGTGGTTCGGCAGAGCCTCTTCTTACATTATCTGGATTCTTGCCTCTCATCCTCCACCTTTATTTCTGGCAGCCACACACTTCCCCGCTATGTTTACTGTTCCAGA